TTGTTAAAATTCATTTATATAATTTGTTTTGAATGACTTCAACTTTCTTCTTGTGGACTTTCCATTTTTATGTAAGATCTGTATGCGTACTGCACCTGTCCTAAGTCAGGAGAACCTGTTGTTCAGTGGTTGTCGTTTGTTGATGTGGTTCTTAAGTGTTTCTCGTTTCTCGTTTTTATATAGATAAGACCGTTGGTTTTCCTGTTTGAATTGTTTTATACTAGTCATTTTTGGCCCTTTCTAGCATGCTGTTCGGTGTGAGCCAAGGCTCCGTGTTGAAGGCCGTACTTCGACCTATAATTGTTTACTTTTTACACATTGTGACTTGGATGGAGAGTTGTCTCATTGGCACTCATACCACATCTTCTTATTTCTATGAATAGCTTTTCTTTCAGTTGGAGCAAGTGTTTCTTATCCCGGTTTCTTTAATAGTGTTAACCGTTTCTACTTACAAGGAATTTAATGCATCAATGGTTCTCAATAATAAAACTGAAATCGATATAACTGCCACACTGCATCATGACTTCACATGAACAACCCGACGAGTGAAACTAGTGGTAATGGTACTGTTTACTTTTCCCGAGCATCTGGGGTTTTATCGGACTTATAACAAATGAATCGTGTATCATGCGATGTTTTTCAGTTTCGATTTTACAATAATTTAATTTTGGATGTACAACGCGTCTTCTGATTGGCTGACGTTGTTTTGTTTATCAGCTCATAGACATAATTTAGTCATGTGACCGTGACGTCCTCAACGTTTTTTCATGGTTTACTACGGTTTAAAATGGAATTTAGAATTAAATTATAAGAAATGACTGTAATATTTTTTCTGTCTATTCGAAATAACATCAAAAATGTGGTGCACACTGAATAACCAGCTACTGTAATAATAACATTTTCTTACTTTTTTACGAAAAAAATGTGGTGATAACCGCAAGCCGTTCTCGTCAAAAATGTGTTTTTCGACAAATGTTCTAACAGATTTAAAAAAGCCTCTAAAACTATTTGTCAATCAAATTATCTACTTTCAATTATATCTGATTATTGAATGTCGATAGATTATTAAATTGCCATGAAGGAATTTTTCTAAAGGTAAAATCATCGGTTGAGATGCTCGAGAGAAGATTACAAATTGATTTGGTTAACGTAAATGAACTGGAAAATAAATGAAAACTGTGTTGAATTAAAAATCAAACCTTTTCTCCAATATCAAAGTTAATTAAAATGATAATTTTGTCTGCATGTCGCAAATGAAGACTTTATACTAAAGGTGAATATGTTCGTATGACATTAAGTGATACATAAAACACACAAAGAGAACACGTTGTTATTTTTATAATTTTTGGGTTTAATTTGTTTTCAATTGCATTATACGTGATTGACGGAGAGCTCGAAATCCATAAATCGTTGTTGAAAATGTGCAACAGTTTACGAATCACCTGTCATCACCCCAGTTTTTGGTGGGGTTCGTGTTGCTCAGTCTTTAGTTTTCTATGTTGTGTTTTGTGTACTGTTGTTTGTTTGTTGGTCTTTTTCTTTTTTTGCCATGGCATTGTCAGTTTATTTTCGACTTATGAGTTTGAATGTCCCTTCGGTATCTTTCGCCTCTCTTTGTCATGGCGTTGTCAGTTTGTTTTCGACTTATGAGTTTGAATGTCCCTTTGGTATCTTTCGCCTCTCTTTGTCATGGCGTTGTCAGTTTATTTTCGACTTATGAGTTTGAATGTCCCTTTGGTATCTTTCGCCTCTCTTTGTCATGGCGTTGTCAGTTTGTTTTCGACTTATGAGTTGAATGTCCCTTTGGTATCTTTCGCTTCTCTTCTGAATAAAGAATAGACGACCATTTTGATTGTGATAATTTAATTGTGAATTATAAATACTAAACTACTTATGCATTCAGAAAAGGAAAATAACTGAACTTTTTTCAACTTTATCATCTTTATTGTTATATTTTAAGATAATTAATTATGTATGTTAATTTCTAACCTATTTACTCCGAACTTCCCGGTGGGGATTTAACCTAACAAGCAGCTTAAACAGTAGCGCTGGTATTTGATAATAACAAGAATTCGATAAAGTACATGTGTTGTAAAATGTCCAAAGAGCTTAGTTTCCAATACAATACATCGTTGGGAGAATGAAAAAAAGTAATGATATCAACGAATTTCCATGACACTTTATAAAGAAATAAATAAAAGCAGGGTATGCTGAAGTAATCCATCACACAAAAAAAAAGCACAAAAAAAACACACAAAAAAAACCAGAGAATAAAATCTACCGAGTTCAATGCTTAAGTGCAATAGATTCGAAGAATTGAACAATTGAATTGTAAATAACCTAATAAGGAATTTACATAAAAACAGAGTGTGCTTGTGTTAGTCAGTAATCCATCATACAAAAAAAATCAGAAAAAAAAAAGATTCTACTGAGCTCAATGTTTATATGAAATAGATTCGAAGAATCGAATCATTATAATTGAATTGGAAATAACCTAGATGTTAAATGCAACTAAGTAAGAATTATGGATTTATTGACATTACGTCATATAAAAATAACCTGGTGATTTGAATTCCTTTAAACTTTCGTCGTTCAGCATTTCACGTCTGATGTTTTAAAAATTATAATGCAGAATATATCACCAACGATGTTTCCGTTTAATGCGATTTTTAAGTTTTTTATTGAAAGGGTACTGGAAAAATGTGTTAAAAAAATGACACCAAAATGTAATTACAACAAAAGTTGTAATCATTCACACTCCCGATAATGATGTTATGGGCAATGTTTACAAAATAAATTTAAACAAGAAGAAAATCAACGCAACATCGAAATATGCAGTTTGATTATAAGAGTATTTATAAAAAACAGTCTGTACTGCTACACGACACGGAGATGCAAGTTGCAGATATCTGGAACATCATATAAGTAATGCTTTGTATGCAATGCTGTTACTCAGTAGCTTCACTTTTTCGAAAAGAATATATATTCTGTGATAAAATTTCATTAAAGTCATATGAAACTTCAAATTTAAAAAAAAAGTTGAAAATGTTTTATATACTTGAATGGCTAAGTTTTACTATAAAACAAGTGTACGCAAACTTTCTTGTAAAAGAAAATCCTTTATATTCTCAAAATATTCATAAATGTACTGCTATTGAATTAGTGTCTTCCCGTACACATTAATTCGCCGATATTTTTTCGTACGCCGTGACATTAACTACGAGACATCTCGTTAGAACTTCGGACACCGCACAGCGCAAGAGCGAGTAGAAAACCATGAGGAACTTGAAGAATGTAAAGAAATATACCGTATTGCGTCGTGAAATGGTGTCGGTGATTGCCGGTACCATATACAAAACAAAAGAGAGAGAAGATTAACAAGGCAAATATAGCAAAACAACGACGTTGATAGTAGTACCATGCTATGTATGATATTCCAAACAAAATGATCGATCCGAAATACTTATACATTTGATGGATTATTTTAACATTTAAACCAAATTTACAAATATCGGGATAAGGATTATATACGGTTTACGGTTGAGGTATTGCATAGCGTATTATTTTATATGGCTAACATTGACAACATAACAGAATAAAATAAAAAAAATATCAATTTTAAAGATATTTCTGCAGAACTCAACAAAGAGGTTATCGATTACAAATTCTAGCATTTTTACAATATCTTCTGAATACGTTTTATTTCAATCAGCGTGGTTTCTGATAAAGAAACTCTTTAATCTTCCTAAAACCTGATAAACATATTTTTTTTTCTCTGCTCTAATTGTAGAAACAATGATGCAATACAGTTATTTATATGCGATGTTAAGTTTATAACGAGAATTTAAATATAAAGTGTTGAAAAGTATAAAAGGGTTGGCACTCATACCACATCTTCTTATTTATATTTGAATATACCACTTTGAAAATAAAGACATGCATGCTTGACACATTCTGATTTACACCTATAGAAGATAACACTTTGCCAAAGTAATTTGGTATCCAGGTTAGATGTTTTAATAGTTTAAATGTTGTAATAGTTTTAAAGTACTTTGTGTTGAAGAAGGCTAACTGGAACACTTGGTAAACCCATCGATACACTTTTGTCCAAAAGGAGAGTTGTGCTGTTTTTTTATATCCAGTATATGGGTAGGAAACTTTGCCGAAAAAAAAAAAGATAAGACAAATTCCCGAGTATCTCTTTCTCAGGTAAAGTTGTTAAGAATAAGATTTGAATTAAAACAGTATTCATGCTCTATCCTTAAACCAAAAATGCATATAACCGGTAATTATTTTTCTTCAAGAAACATTTTTGCAGCAAGTTGTTTGAAAAGTAATGTGTATTGAAATTAAAAAAATTAAATATAACAAACAAACAAATGTTTGTGCCTTTCAATTTTCTATACGCTAGTACGTACAGTTAATCGTTTACAATACTGTATTTTGAAGTTCTTGCACTAATTCCTAAGCTTACAAAACAATGCATTGATTTTTGTTTTCTCTGAAACACTAAACATATTTGAAAGAATGTCTAGAATTCTTGTAACTATTAATCAATATTTTCACACGACTCTTCGGAAAAGATAATTTGACAATGTTTTTAGTGTGCATCATCTGCTAACTGCAAAATCTGCAGTAACTTTACTTTATTGACAAGTAGTTTATGTCCGCTTTATGTAATGGCTTACAAACAAACATGAACAAACAAATAAAAAAATGCATATTATCCTTATAGTTATCATATTCATGTAATAAAGATATGTATATATATTCAAATATATTTTTTTCAAGGATTAACTGCCCTCACCTAAGTAACTTTAAAAAAAACCTAATTTGTTGTCAAGCTGTTTTGTTTTAGGATTAAGAGTTTGTTTAAATTTTTGTACATGTATACGATAAATTTTCTATGAAAAAAACTTTTCTTATAAAAAAAGAAAGGGAACTCGTATTCTAGGACGTTAAAATGAACAACAGATATACTGTAACAGCTTCAATTCGAGTTAAATTTTTGAGGTAATTGTTGCCACAGACTCACTTATATCTGATTTCCTCAAGGCCTTTTTTCTCTTCCGTCTTTTAATAATAATGAAAACTATTCCATTTAGAACTCCGCCAAAATTATTGAAGAAAATTGCTAAGTATAGGATAACTTCTGGGACCTTTCCAAGCAAAGCAGTGATGGAGTAGGCAGCCAAGGAAAACCACTGAACGAAGAAAACTGCAACAAAAAGTGACATATTTTTTGCTGCATTGTGTATGCTTTTAATGGATTGAGCCGATTCGCCAAGGACATTAGCTAATTCCTTGCTATCTTTGTAAATCTTGATCCACGTAGCGACATACAGGGTGCTGTTTACTGCGACGACGACAAAGGTAAGCACTGTGAGGTAGTATACATATAGATCTGTACCTTTAATGGCGTCAAAGTGGCAACTGAAATGTAATTCAAATAACTTTAATATGGATTATCTATTGAAGAATAGAAATAATACAATATTGATATCATGTGTATTTAACAGGCTTAAATGTAAAATTTTTAAAATTGTCTTACTTCACTTAGAAAAATTGAGAAATGAGCGCTATTGAAACGTTCCTGAATGATATAACCTACTAGTATTCGAATTTTAAAGAGTCTTTGATATAATTTTTTTCACACACATTATCAACAATTATCAATTATGTGAAATGTTTTTAAGTAAAATTGAGAATGGAAATGGGGAATGTGTCAAAGAGACAACAACCCGACCATAGAACAGACAACAGCAGAAGGTCACCAACAGGTCTTCAATGCAGCGAGAAATTCCCGCACCCGGAGGCGTCCCTCAGCTGGCCCCTAAACAAATATATATACTAGTTCAGTGATAATGAACGCCATACTAAACTCCAAATTGTACACAAGAAACTAAAATTAAAAATAATACAAGACTAACAAAGGCTAGAGGCTCCTGACTTGGGACAGGCGCAAAAATGCGGCGGGGTTAAACATGTTTATGAGATCTCAACCCTCCCCCTATACCTCTAGCCAATGTAGAAAAGTAAACGCATAACAATACGCACATTAAAATTCAGTTCAAGAGAAGTCCGAGTCTGATGTCAGAAGATGTAACCAAAGAAAATAAACAAAATGACAATAATACATAAATAACAACAGACTACTAGCAGTTAACTGACATGCCAGCTCCAGACTTCAATTAAACTGATTGAAAGATTATGTCTTCATCATATGAATATCAGGCACAATCCTTCCCGTTAGGGGTTTAGTATCATACCATCATAACATATATGAGAAGAACATAACCCGTGTCATGCCAACAACTGGTTTTTAAATAAATGTGTTTAGTGCCGATGCAAAGACCCTATAAGTGAATCAATATTAACGCCAAAATATGCAATCTTTAATGACCTGACAACAGGTCACATATTGCTGATGAAGACAATAATACAAATTTCACATGTTTTTGAAAGATTTTGCATCGAAGGACATCACTAACCAAATTAATTAACTACTAGTATACTCGAAGGACAATATAATGCATATAACTCTACATCCAGCAAACAGTTACTGTTGTTTAAGGATGTCCTTCATATATATTTTTCTGGGTAGATATTTTAAACGTGCGAAAATCTGTCAAAATTGCTGTTTTTTTTTCATGATTCCTTATTTATCATAATTCTGATTGTTATATCGCCATACGTATATATATATGTTACATTCTGTAATGGTATATCTATTGTAATTATGTATATTCATTCTATAAGCTGTATTGCTCTTGAATAAAATATTGATTATTATAATTTGATAACATGTTCAAAATATACCAAAATGCTGATAAAAACCTTAAAGTACAAATAAATCGTGCGTGGTGAAATCGGTACAACACTTTAATAATTTACTGGTTTGATAGACAAAAGAGATGGAAAGGAAGGGATATGGTGTACTTATTCCAATCTGATTTAAATACAGATCCTTTGACCACGCTTTGATAACAAGGCTGACTATGGCATGGTATTGGTTGCAAAAATTTGATATTTTTTCATTTAAATGCAATATTTCTTATTTAATTGGTATATTTCTTCATTTAAATGCAATATTTTTTTATTTGAATGGTATATTTTTTCATTTAAATGCAATATTTTTTATTCAGATGGTATAATTTTTCATTCAAATGGTATAATTTTTCATTCAAATGGTATAATTTTCGTTCAAATGCAATATTTTTTATTCAATTGGTATAAAATGTCATTTGAATGCAATATTTTTTTATTCAATTGGTATAGTAGTTTTTTTATTTATATGCAATAATTGCATTATGGGAAATTCTTTGACGTCATAAGGTCAAATTTGCAACAACGTTTTTGATTGGTCGGTAATTGTTTGGATTTCTCCCCTTTCTTTCTAAACTTGAGTGACCAAGAATTAGAAAACGCGTCAGAATATCGCCTCTCTAACTAAATTTGGCGTTCGTGCGAGTTTGTGCACTGGCTGTTAATGCCAATAATGGCCGGGACGAGCAAAAAACGCGAGTGACAAGTAATAATAATTAATTTGACACACAACTTGTTCATTGATAGAAAAAGATGCCTGCATGCATGGCAAAAACACCTCCAATGAAAACCTTTTCTGAAGAAACTCTCCTACAGTCTACACATTGAAATAAAAAAAAATACATAGCTAGCCCCCTCCCCCTTTTAAGTCCAGGTACATGTAATCATGACGTTCTTTAGTGCTATATCATTTTTTACTTTTCTTGATCCTCAGAGACGTTGCAGGAAGGCACACATGAAAAAAGAATAAAAAGCATCCAGGACGTCGACGTTACACTTATTTGGACTAAGCCCCCTCTTTTTTACTACATGTAGAAAAAAAAATCACCTAATTACGACAGCAGAACCAGAAACCCACAAGTAGAGACATAAGCTGTTATACTCTGGAACTAATTCTTTAATAAAGACAATTCAGGATAAATTGGAACCAGTTACTAACCCATGTTACAACAATAGTCCTATGACATAGGACTTCACTATAGGAGGCATGAACTTCATATTTAATACTATCTATAATATGTGCTCTCATGTCTTATGCTGCAAATCATTCTACATTTAGGATTCGTTGCTAAGTTTTTTTTTACTGTTCTCGTCTCCGAATCCCTTAAATAGATTTTTTTTTCAAGCCCCACAGTAGTTCAATAATTACTATATGTCTTTGCATAAATAAGTATGCAGGGCATATTTCAAAACATATTTTATCTTCAGGACTTTTAAATGATTTACTTTTACAATAACTGCATTTGGAAGGGGGTATACAAGTTTATTTTGTGACACATTATATAATATAATTAGGTATCCAACAAATTATATGATTGTACGTTTAGCTATTATCTAGACCCGTATAAAATGTATATAATTAGACACATTTAACAGGGGCGGATCCAAAACCTCGGTGTCTAGAGGGGGGGAGTAGGTTCAAATTTAGATATTTGTATAGAGATGTATATATGCGACTATTGGCAGTAATGGTTATGGTGTGTGTGTGAGGGTAGGGGTTTCAGATCAAAGATCGTTTCTATAATTCTATATCTTTTAGTTTTTACCATTTCACTCTATTCTTTATCCTTTGATCTCTATTATATTTGTCCTAAACATGCGTGACATATTTGCCACTGGACATAAGGCAACCAAAAGTCAGTCAACGTATTCTGTATATTTCATCATTTCTTTATTATGTTATCTATAGGTTTGGTCCCGCCCTTATCTATTTTTTGGCACATTAGGGACAACATCAAAAGTTCAATGAAGGATAAAAAAAACTTAATTCATATAGTTTTTTTCACTAACCCCCTACCCCCCCCCCCCCCCCCCCCCCCCCTCTTAACTTAATTTGGGAAAAATTGATTGACCAATAAGGATATATATAAAATCGATGTTAATTAAACAAAACTTGCAGCAATTTTGACACCCTCCCCCCCCCCACCCCCCCCCCCCCAAAAAAACAAAAAAACTATTTGAATTCAGTTTTTTATCCTTCATTGATTTTCTGATGTCGTCCCTTATCCTCTCTATGTAAACCCAATTCATGTCCTGATAAATGGTGACTAATGCATAGCATCATATGTGGTTATTAAAACAAGAAACATATTCATATTATAATAATTAATGTATGCTAGGACTTATAGATAGATGTCATTAGTCCCAGGTCATGTAATAAAGTAGGTCTTATAAAAATACAATAGCATTTTAATTTTGATGATTATATATATGTTTATATATTTAATGATGCCATTTTTTTGGAAAAAAGGGTAGGGGCAAGGCGTTTTTAAAACATATCAATGGGGCGCGTTTTTTTTTTGTTCTTCGGAAGTGAGCCAGAAGAAGTCCATTTCTGTTTTTTTTTTTTGCATTGGGAAGATCTTCTGGCTCTCTTCCACCTCTTCTTTTTTGATAGGTTGACGGCAGAGGCACATAACAAACATGGCGTCGTTTAGTCTAAATGAAATTAATAAATTTATGAATGCAGATATATTAGAATGTGAGCTGTTTTATAAACGTTTTTATGGTATGACAGCCTTAGTAGGACATCCCTGTAGGACGATAAGCTGGATAAATAGAAGAACTACACGGACAATAACAGTTAAGGGACGATTATTTGATATTCTAGGGAAGGGATTTTGATTGATTGGTGTTTAACGCTACTTTCAACACTATTGGGCTATTCCGTGGTGGTCAGTTTAAATTTATAGATAAGGGATGGGTAAGGGAAGAGAGGGCATTATTATTCATTTCAATCTGTCGCTAATCATGCCTATTATTCAGCTCTTACCATGCAACCATATTCATATATGAAATCCTTCTGTCCCCCACCCCAACAAATAAATAAATATCAAATGGTTTTCCTCTTATTTAACACAAGTTTAAATTGATTGATTGTTTGTTGCTAATTTTAACGCCCAGTGAAAATTATTTCATGCTTGTTCAGGAAAACACGAATTTAGAAGTCACGTATATAATATAAATATGAAGAGATGGAATATGATTGCTAATAAGGCAACTATCCACCGGAGTTCAAATATGAGGTGGATGTAAGCAATTATAGATAAGATAAGATAAGATAAGAAAAATTTATTTTAAGTTGGGTTACATGACATACTACAAACATAAGCTCTGTAGAGCTTTTTGCCGTCATGTAGACAAATGCTTTTTGTAGACAATCGTAAGGCCTTCAACAATGACAAAAACCTGATACTGTAAAGTCGTCTATAAAAGGCCCGACATGAAAAGTGTGAACAATTCAAACGAAAAAACTAACAGCC